GCCCTTTGATGCCACCCGCCGAACGGCATCCGCAGCACCCATTATAGCATTGCGCGATCTTTGAAGAAAGCCTCCCGATTTCTCCTTTTTTGACTTGGAAACGAACTTAACATTCATCTCATCCTCAGAGGCTTGGTCCTGGACTGATGGTATGTCGACACGGTTGTCAATCTGACCCTCTATGTTGAATACTTTTAGAAGTTCCCTTGTACGAGCATCCCTATGAGAAGAGCCATTGTTAATATAATATTCAGAGCAACTAAGTATAATAATTGTATGGAATTTAAGTGTAGGTTCAGAGACTTACCATAATGAGAAGGACAGAGACCCGACAGCCCAGATTCTGCTTCTGGCATTATCCGTCAACAACCACTTCACGTCTGAAGAGGATATACTGCAAGTGCCATTGACTGTGACTTGGCTTTTCAGGTCAATAAATGATCTCTCCACTAATAGAGTGGCCATGTTTTTTTCTTCCGGTGACAGAGAGAGAGATTTTTCCACAGCTTCGTATGGCCAAACCCTTATAGCCCCACCCTCGGATCCTGACCAAATATCACCTACATCCGAGGTATAATGTTATTACAAGAACAAGAAAGGTTGAAATTAAAGAGCATCAGATCATAAACTATGATACTTGTGTCTAAAGAAAATATCAGGCAGTTACCCAACTCATTGAAATTGATTCAAAGTTAAATAATATACGATCTAGGTAAATTTAGGTTAAGCCAGTTTTGAATAAATGAGTATTTGTATCCAAAAATGTAACTCCAAGACGAAAGGTAATATCAGAGAACAATGGTAAAAATCATACGTAAATTTCAAAAACAACTAATGGGAACCTACAACTAGGACAGCACAAGTTTCACCATATGTAATCACTGTTTTTATTGTAAAGATCAAACACAAAACCAGTAATGGCATGTTAATATAAACAATTTTCATACAGAGAAACAAAAAAGAAAAATATAGCTACAAGAGGAGAAGGAATTTATACCATAGGAAGAAATCTGCATGGAAAGAACTGGACCTCGATGAGCCTGCCAGGAAAGACCTTCCTCGAAACCGTTCTCATCAGAAAATTGCTGGTCCATCTTCCAAGACTTAATTTTACCATCTTTGTGCCCACTCCATACCAACTTACACCCTTGATCAACAACCAAACATATTGTTGGTGATGTGCTGCCCGATTCATAAAATGGAGCAGCATCCTCATCACCCCTCCTTGCTCTTCCCCCAATCCCAATCCCTGCCTTATATGCATCTGAATAGTTCCACACTCTTACACCTGATTCCTGCCCTGCCCACAGTTGGGTTTCTGTGCTTGCGATTGTTCTTAAAAATTTTCCGACCTGTGAAAAACCCATCAGTAACTAGTCATGCATTTCTTGGCTTTGCTCAAGCAAGGTAAGAAGCATAAAATCCTGTAACCTGTGCATTTTGAACTGAATCTAGTATGATTACTTCAAATCAAATTATTTAAAGAAATACTAATGAACAAAAATGATGGCATTTCCCATACACAACAAAAATTACCGTGAAATCAACATGTAGATTCATTCTCAGCCCAACTATTCCCAGAGATGGAAGAACAAAATGAAAGATGTCTAAGATGAACAAGGAATTGGATAAAAATCTATGAGCTATATGTAAATCTCAGATGAACAAGGAATTTGGGTAAAAATCTATGAGCTATATGCATATCCTTAACAGAATATACACAAGCACGCCCGGAAACGAGTTCTCAGCATTCAACCAATTACAAGATAGAAGCACAAAAATTTTATTGATACCAACACATCTACCCAAACTAATAATGCAACAGGAAGAACAAAAATTGCACATACAATCGACGAGGAAGATATAGTCCACAGGCACCTACTACATGTTCGCTAGTATTATTTTTCCAATTTTGAAAAAAATACAGTTCGATGCCCCTTACTATGCATATTGTTGTCATGTAAATATTATCCAGCGAATATGTTCTCATCCGTCCAAGCAAATAGA